AGCCCAAAAGCCCATCTAGCTCAGTATCCTGTTGTGAAGAGCGCTTGAGGGTGGGTGCCTTGCAAGAGGGAAACACTTTTCAGCTGTTCCTTACAAATACTATTTCCTTCACACCTCTTCTTTAGAGAACCACAGTGGGCAAGGCAACTGCCTAAAAGCTAGTAATTCATGTTTTATGCAAGATAAAAGGGACCCAGATCTTGCTGATATAAACAATGTGGCTTCAGTGCCAGTTATCTCTGCTGAAGACATCACCTAAAAATTTTACAGAGAAAGAATAGTCTAAATGAAGGCATTACTCAGCATTCATATCAGACTTCATAATCTGTCTGTATTTTATGTCTTCTAGCAGATCATAGCACTGCTCTGTTTCTAGTCTAACACTTTGTTTTGATTTTAATAAACCCAATACGAATTAAAATAGCAGGTGCATAGCAACACCTCTTTAGAATGAGTGTTTGATGCTAATAACCATGTTAAGCAAGACTTTGCTGAGCCATGGCTTTCATCTCAGTCTGACCGATATATATATGATGAAAAGCCACTTTAACCCCTTAGCTTCTGGCTGAAGGATTGTGAAAAGCATGTGTAAAATCAATAGAAAAATTATAAATCCATGAAGTTATGGAGACCATTTGGAAAATAGGAAAGATCAGTTGACTAATGACACTTTACTCTGTATTTTTGATAATAATCCTACCAACACTGGAAAAGCTGGATGTGGTCTGAGAATAGACTAATGCATGTAAAAGGAACCAAACACTACAGAGAAGGATTCTTGCCCAGCATAAAAATGAAACAAGAATCTGGGCACAGACTAAAGCAAGCTGTAGTTGCATCTAGTGGAAAATTGAGAGCTCACTAAATGAAAGGGTTAAGGGAAGGATTGTAAGAATGAACTCCAGGCAGCCAGTGGATTCAATTCCTCTAGATTGTTGTGAGAAGGAAAAAGCTGCATATCTTTGTCTCTTGTAATTGCTTTGTTCATTACCCTCCTAAATCCTCAAAACAAACAATAAACAATCCAAGCCTTCCCTCCACACAGATCCAGATATTACAAAGGTTCCACTTGCAAAAATCACTTTTGTCTATTTCTGTGCTTTTTTAACATTTTATCCTCTTACCAGGTTGAAGGTCAACAGAACTCACAAAGAAAATATTGTAATTTGTTTTGCTAGCAAACTAGTACTTTACTGGAGGCACATGCTGTTTCAGCAGACTTCATATTTAACCTGGGTCCAGTTTAGAATTTTGAAAAAACAGCTTGGTTGGACCCAATGATCTGAAAGGTCTTTTCTAAGTTAAATGATTCTGTGAATCTACTATGGGTTTCTGCTACAATAGCTTCAATGTATCATTTAATTTCTCCTCTGGCTTCTGAGGCAAAGCCTATATATGCCATTATTATCTTAAAACAAACAACACATAATATAAATTCCCTGCATTGCTGAAGATTCTAATTTCTCCATGACTTCGATACATTTAATGTCTCTCACTGAATCATCAGCCCTGCACCTTCTGATAGGAAACACCAGCAAAATGGCAGATATTAAGGAGAAATCTAACACACATGGCAGAATAAGAGGGATTTCTAAAAGCTGATTATTAAATTCTGGGTTTTTTTAAATATTGTTGGGTCTTGGTTATGACTTTGTGTTAGAGGCATAATTACATTAACTCACAGCAAGGAAACAGAATTTCCTTTCTCTTAATTTAGTCTCAGTTTGGATGAAGCTGTTAACAGGCTGAATTCTGCAGAAGTCTCTGTGATTCTGGTGAATCCAGACACAATGAATGCATATTTTACATGGGTAAACCTGACTATTTGAAGTCAGTGAGCCTAAACTGTGTGGCATAATTAGAGGGATGAGCCTCAGGTTGCTTTGTCAAAACATTCTTTAATTGCTGGATTTTAGGATTATTGGATTAGAAGATTAGATGCAATGCCTGGAAATCTTAAATTGGAGTATCCAGTAAAGTAAGACTTGTCATGAGTCTGAGTTATGATGTATCTATAAACCTCATAGTTTATATAGGTTGTTTTAGCAGTTGTTCAAAATACTTTCATGGTAGGACAATATGTACATATTTAACTGTGTTTCCTCTTACCCTTCTTTTTAAACACATTTTTAATATTAAGGAATTTGGTAACTTTTTTTTCATGACAATCGGTTGCCAGCTTCCATGTAGCCAGGGTGCTAGAGCTGCTCTGAGCTTGGTCTGTGAATCACACCTCTTCCTTGTCCATAGGATCTAAAGGAGTCCTGATACCAACCAGACACTTCATGGCATCCACCTTGCAGTGTGTGCATATTACTTAATTACATCATGATCAGGAAGCACTGAGCTTGTTGTTTTTTATGGCATTCATACAGGATTTACTGTTGCAAATTCATTCTGCATTGTACAAACAAGAGTCACAATATGGTGCACTACAGGTGCTCCTCTTTTCTTCTCAGAGCAATATCAAGTGTGGAGTCTTCAAACATGGCACACAGGAAGTTATTCCATCATTCCAGTTTATCTAATTTCCAGGGAACTCTTCGTACTTCACTCCTTAAAATTTCTGTTATCAAGATTTCTCCAGCTGCTGGTGCTCCCCCTCCTTGGTTCCACATGTCACATACTGCACATATCAGCTATGAAAACAAGAAGTATATGTGTGTACAAGTAGAAAAGTAATGGCTCAGAGATAAATAGATGACCAGATAATAATGGAAACTTCAGGCTGTGGTTCAAATCCCCCTTAAGAAAAATGCTATGAAATTGTTCATGTCAGTATTGAACAGAATTGTCTGGTAAATTCTGCTGGAGGTTCTGAAGCCATAGGTTTAGAGTCTGGATGTTCCAAATGGGACAGTTAATTTGACACTGCTACATCACTCTTTCCTGAGATGGTTTTGTAAGTATTAGGAAGGTGACTTTTAATTAGTATATTAAAGAGTTTTGAAAGTTAATAGTAGTACTTTGTCATGTAATTTTGTGAAGCAAACTGAAGAGGACTTTGTTCACAAGCAATGTGATGACAGCTGTGTTAGCCATATCTTCAAGCCATTAACAGAATCATTATCAGCATTTCAAAGTACCACATTCCCATATCACTTCATATTTACACTGCTAAAATCACAGCATCCAAAATAAAAGCCAAAGAACTGAAGTGTCCCAGTATGATGAAGATCATGACTGTCTGAACAGAAGAATCAATATGGAAAGGTGTAAATCATATTCCTATTTTCTGGGGTCAAACCCCAAAACACTTTGTTACAATTTTGACATATTTTAAAATCAATTATTATTTTTGTCACTGATTTCCACAAAGCCCCAACTGTGCTTTTTGAGTCTGACAGTCTTGTCAGGATTTAACATACCTGAATAGGCAGAATTATATGTAGTCATAGCTTTCATATTTTCAAATTGAAACTGTAGGAATAAAAAAGATAACAGTTTATCACTTCCTTCTTTTGTAACAGAGCTGTATAAAAAATAAGTGCTTTCACCGAATTCCCACTCTTTCAAAAATTTCTGTATAAGGTAGCACAGATCTCTCCAACTTCCTTTAAAATAGTGACCTGTGTTTCTGCTTAACCTAGGGACTAATGAAAATGCTTATATTAACCTGACTGTCTTGTCCAAGATCAGAAGCAGGGCAGTCTTGATCACAGGCAAGGAAGGGAGCTCAGTGCAGGGCCTTTTGCCAGCATGGCCTCAGCCTGCCAGCAGGGATTGCACTCTTCAGGTTCTGTTTTCCCACATTTTCTACCAATGTAGCTATACTGTCTTCAAAGGAACCCCCAGTTTAAGTCAGATCAGAATACAGCCTTGAGCTGCCTGGCTTCCTGAAGCACTTATTTCTGTGAGACAGCAGAACTCGTACACAGAAAGCACAACACAGCCTGTAAATAAGGATGGAAGTGGGCATGAACCACTTCCCATCCCCATGCCCACCCTATGCCCTCACATTAACTGTAACCTGAAGGCCTTGAAATCCCTGGCTTCTTCTGAATTGCTCTCATGGGTAATATTATCCCCAAAGAGCATGATACCAACCACACATGATTTGGGGATCACTAGAACTGTTGCTAACTTTATGTTAGCTTTTTGGGCTTTTTTGCCTCTTAAAAAACACACAAGATATAGTCCTAAAGGTTTTTATACTATTAGAAATTTACAGAAAGTTAGAAAAGTATAGAAAGTTCTATAGTAAGTGTGTGAATCCATTTGGATTATAGAAATACTTTTGTAATAAAAAAATATCCTTGCCAGAAACAGTTTCAGGTTTCTTTGGTATTTAGAAATCCTTTGCTAAACAAAGTAAAAATGAATGATAAACAAAATCGAGTTTCCTTTGAGCCTGATGTTCTTGCAGCTGCACTCCACTTTTAAGAGTAACCCATTAGCAATTAATTTAGAGTGACACTGGCAAGCAGTCCCCAGACTTTAATTAATATCTCTTTGACAAGCTCATAATCTTTCTAGTTAATAAAGTCTCCCTTAAATTAGTTTAACTCTGATTTCACTTACTGTTGTAAGCAATTGGCATCAAATCTAGGGTACTTAGCAGTACTTTCTCATTTCAAATGTCTTTAGAAGGAGAATTTATAGTTAGATTTTACAGAGTAGAAGGAGTATTTAATGAAGGTCACCCTCAATTCAGTGGCAGTGCTGGAAAGAAAATCTAGGTTCCTGCCTGCTCTTCTGTTGTGCAATTGATTAAGCAATGGTGCTGTCTCCTGTCTCAGTATCTTGCAAAGAAAGGATTAAATTCTGGTTCCAAGTTACATAATTGATTCTTTTCCTTTATGCCAATATCAAGATCTCAGAAAGCTACAGTATAGTACTGTAAATATAATATAGTGAGTCATTGTAAAAGTTACTTAAATAAAAGGTATCAGTGTAGGACAATGTAGGATCAACTTATTTAATTTTAAGCTTTTAATATCCTTCTTAAAACTTTGCCTTTAAAATTCTGTGTCATTTTTATCCATATGTCTGAAATGCAGAACTAATCTACATGGGAACCTTATGCATTTACCATGTCCTGTGGAACAGGAGATAATACTGTGAACTGGTGAAGATGCTGAGATTAAAATCTCCTTTGACCTCTTGGTAAGTCAACAACTTTTATAAAAGTGTAATGAAATGTGCTATATATATGCCTATTGCATGTGTATATTATGAGGAAAAAATTAGCTGTAATGCGGTAATTTTTGATATGTAAGATCACATCAACCTACCTTTCTTTCTACTTTGCCTGAAAAGTAAACGAAGAGGTGCACAAATTACTGTCAGGCTTTGAGTCTGATAGGTTTTTTTCAGAACTGAAAAAATTCTGCCTTCTAGATTGTAAAGTTTTAAACCGATTAAATCTACAAAGAAAGAAGATCTCATTTTAAAGGTAATCAGTGTTTTGTATCTAACTAACTATGAGAAATATCTGTGTAAGCACTAATGACTCTGCTGTAATGTACTGCCAAGGGAGACAGAAGTAGGATCTTTTTTGAAGGTAATTTTTGCCAGGTGAGGATATTACAGCCTTAATTTGCTGATTCACAGGAATGGCTTATTTTAATGTTTATATTTCTTGTAAGGTGAAGCTTGAAGTGAAAATAGGGTATGAAAAAATCTTATTAGTCTCCTTCATCTTAAATAAATGTAAAAGCTTAATGTAAAAGTCTGTCTCATTGGCAAGGACTAAGATAATTAAAATGGCTGAGAAAGGTCAGTTATATATGCAACTTAAATGGGATCCCAAGGCCAGGAGACGTCTCAACATCTCTAGCAGTCATGAGCAGTCTATGCACTCCAGAAGTATTTCTCTAGAATACATAAAACTGAAAATAGCATGTCCCAAACACTCTTTGGAACAGTTCTAGTAGCAATAGGCACAAGCCTGTATCACTGCCTTAGAATACTAACCTTGTACAAAGAATTTATTTTATGCTGCTTCTTTGCTTTTTCCTCTTCTTTAGTCAACAAGGGGAAAAAGAAAAGAGATGAAATAGACATTAGATAGTGAGGAGAAGTGCAAAAAATGTATTCAGTCAGTAGCATATTCTTCAGCCTAATTTCTACAATTTTTACTTAAGCTCTTGCTGTCTCTGTCAGTATTGACATGCTGAACCAGAGGTCTTATTGCTATTCCTATGTTTCTGTGGCAATGATAATTCCACCCCAGAAGTCACAAATCAGAAAATAGTTTCTTCCAATGAAACAGCAAATGAAGCACAACAAGATCATCCTCCTTTCTCATGCGTGTTAACTGTAAAAAGTTTCATTGCTCAGAATGTGGCTCTGATTACATTTCTCTATCCCAAAATAAACATGGTGCAAAAGAAAAGGATATAGGGAGGGGGGGAAAGCCTGTCAATGGGCCACCCTCAGAAAACCTCACAAGATCTACTGTCTGTCTGTGCAAGCCATGGAAGAGCCAAGGAAGTGATCCCAGCTTGGTGGTCTTATTCTTAATTAAAACAAATGAGGCTCTTTCAGCTGTTGCAGATAAATATTTGATGAAAAGAGACAGGAACAGATGTCGAAAAACCGTAGTAAATAAAGAATAAGACCAGAAAAGCAAATGTTACAACAGCATTTTATATTAAAAAAATCACTTTACAGATTTCTGTCAAATGTCTAATTTTACTAAGATCATTCTATAAGGGGAAGACTAATTCTTTTCTTTTTTTACAAAGTAGAATATAATATATGCATATTATATTTTAAAATACAAATGCATATAGATAATGAAAAAAAAATTAAGTCAACTTGTTGCACATTTTATGGTTAAAATAAGAGTCAGGCCGTTGATGAGACAGAAGACTTCAAAGTAATTTGTACACTTCCATGAGAGTTTATGTTGATTCTAGAATCATTAGTAGGATTTTGCTCCAAAATTTACCTTTAGGATGCACAGTGAGAAGGTGCCTAGCAAAATATAATAGAAACTTCCTTGTTGCAATAATCTGTCGTCATATTTTTAAGTCACATCCCTTATAAATGATTAATTTTATGAGGTGAATTCAACCTTTTTCTATAGTTGCTGTTCTACTTATGAGTACACTTGGATTTAACTTTTAAGTTCACCTTGCTCTCAGTGGGGTTTTATACAGAATGACCTCCAAAGGTCCCTTTCCACTTCAGTTACTCCATACCTTGAGGGCATTGGGTCCAAATTAGTTTACCTTTTAGCAAACGCATTTATAGCATTTTATGAAAGAACCTGATATAATTTAAATAACTTAAAGGTAGACCATAAAAGAAAGCTGAGTCATGAAAAATTTCAGTAGAGGAAAAATCTCAGTAGCTGGCAGTTTCAATATTAACATTTGCATTGTGGGCACCATATTGACATTGCCTGCTAGTTTTAAGGCCTGGTCTCGCCATTCCTGGGTAAAAAGGATGTTTCCATTGAGTCCAATATAAGTTACACATCTGAGTGAGAAAGAACTGATTTTATAAGTAGGCCTTACAAAACTGCTGAGAGAGTGTGAACCACAAGAGTTTCAATGAAAATATTTTAAAATAGCATGGTGATTTGGGTCACCAGAAGCTGAAGAAATTGATATCATGTGAAATTCTGAAAATATAAATACTGGAGTTAGGAGTGAATGGAGTCCTGAAATATATACCTGATTCTGAAGATGGGTGAGAAGAAAATGTTGATTAACTGCAGTGCATCAGGGTCTACATGGGATAGTACAGAGGCGGAGTCCCACAGTAGGCACAGGTGAAAGCAGAGAAACATCCAGAGACATGAAATAAAAGTCATCAAGTTCAGATGAGAGATAAGGAACAAGTCCTAGAAACTGAGGGAAAGAAACCTTAGACTATGACTTTCCACAATTGGAAGAAATTAAATCAATCTAAAATTCTAATGACAGGTTAAATTGACAGGTATGGTCCTTTATAAAAACTACAGGAGGCACTTTGTAGTTCTCAGAAAGTCAAAATAAATTATCGTAATTGTCTCTTCTGGCCACAGCACCTGCAAATTTGTAGTGTTCAGCATAACATTATATCCCAGGTTTCCAGCAGTTTTCTGAAGCTGACGCAAAACTCCTGATCCACAGGTCATGCAAAACACCTGCCCTTTCCATTGTTGCAAGATTCAGACAAAGCCAAGTAATCTCAAGTGCACACCAACAAGACAGGTAGCTTTTAATTTGAGGATCAAACATAAAGAATTCAATAGCACCCTTGCTTGGTGCCAATTTACGTGTGATCTGATGAAACCAATCTAAACCCAACAAGCTCCCAGAGATAACAGCTTGTCAATTTTCCATTTTAAAGGCAGCATGATAACTGAAAGCTTACAGATGTATCACATGGAAATCAGACTTTCAGCAAGCAGCAAACTTTCTGATAAAGGCCTAAGCTAATTCTATTGAAGTCAATGACAAGCCCCAGCAGATTTCAATAGACGTTGAGTGAGGCTCAAGGTGAGAAACAACTCTGAGAACAGTTATAATCAACTCAGTTCCCAGTCAGGACAGAAAATATGTGAGAGGATATTTTTCTTGCATGCAGTGCCCAAGTTGAGAATTCACAGTGAGTTGCAAGGATCTGTGACACTGAGCATTTTAAGGGGCCCTTGCAGAATCTGATAGGACTTGGCGAGGTCAGCATGTCCCCAGTTAGCCTGGTATTGCCATGCTCAGTGAGAACTTACATGGAACCTGACAGCAGTTACCCTCTTTTTTAGCCTCAAGCAATCCCCAAACTGTCAACAGAAGCTGCGGCCAAACTGTTGTACTGGAGCATAAACACACGGAGTGTGGCTGATGAAGCAAGAAATAAAATGAGTGGGCAGAGCAGGGGCAACAACTTTGCCTCTTTTTTCTAAGCAAGTGTTGTAAGGACTGCAAAATGTACAATGGCACATCTATGGCACGGCCAGTGCAAGACATGAGAGAGGCAGGGAGTTGATACACATCTGCTTCTGTATGTCTCTGACATGGCTGCAGCTAGAATGTGATTCAGTCTCAGATTAACAAACAGTGGCTACTCTGTATTCCCATGCACCAGTTGTAAAAAACCACTCAAAATACCTGTACATCAGTTTTCTGCTACTGGAGTCATCTCCCAGCAGCATTGTCATTCACACAGGCAGAAATTAAGCTGCTTCTTTAAGGAACTTCCCTTCTGTTTTTCAGAGTGCAAAGGAAATGAATGGGAAACATGTTTAGTGTTCCTAATCATAAGTGACATGTTTTGTAGAGATCTACTTCTGTAAAGACTTCTGTAATGGGTGAGAAAGGAGCAAAGAAGAAAAAAAGTTTTCTTCTATTTCTTGTTTAAGGAGAAGGCTCCAGAGTAATACTCACTCCTTTGTCTCCATTACAGATGAGGGTAAGTCAGACAAAAATGAAAAGACTTTCCAAGGTTTTGCTACACAGTAAGGATTTAAACTCAGAACTTCTGAATACAACCCCTGTGCCTGAGCCACACATTCATTTTCTTCTCTGTATTCCTCCACAATCTTAGGCCATGTGGCCACTGTTGGTGAAATGAAAAACAGGTGCAGATCCATGAACAGATGGGAGACCAGCCCTGGCTGATCTCTGGAGGATAATACAACGTTGTTTTCCAGCAAAGAGGATTCCAAAGAACCACAGAGGCAGCACCCCTGCCCTAAAACTAAAGCTGCTCTGTCTCACACTAAATGTTATCTCCACCAGCCCCGCAAGTGGGAGTTTTGAGGAGTGGTCTGTTGTCTATCAGCAAAGGACACTGCCTCACTGACCTCTCGGATTTGCAATATCGACATCTCTGTTTTTCAGGCATGCCTATAAAGATTGTAGAAGACTAATTGCAATTCCATTCTTAGCAGTAACTACAGCCAATGTTTCTAAGTTGCTGGAACATGAAATTTCTTCCCTTGAGTAGACATCTTTGGAATGCCTAACTCTCAAAAAATGCCATTAGCCATATGCAGCATCTTTCTCTGGGAAAATCACTAGTGGTATGGGACAAATCTCCAGGTAAGATAAATAATATATTTGTTCTGGATGTGTAAGGAGAGATCTACTTTTCATTTCCAGTGCATGTCTTATTCCACAAGAATTGGTTAAACAAAGAACTTGGACTGCTTTTTTAATGGGAGAGTGATAGTAGATTACTAACAGGACAATTGCCTGGGCCTAAGCACAGGATGGAGTGCAAAGAATTCCCTGCCTTGTGTGACCCACAGTTGTCCCTGCAAGACACATTTCCCCTCCGTGTGTCACCTGACACATCAGCCAGAAGTGTCAGCAAAGGCAGGGCAGTCCTCACTGTGCACAGAGCACAACCCAAGAAGAAAGTACATGCAAGAGAACAGGGAGTGTTTCTTAGGATCTAGGAATAGTTTAAATTGGACAGGACCTTTAAAGACCATCTAGTCTAACCCTCCTGGCTGTGAGCAGCATCATCTTCATCTAGATAAGGTTGCTCAGTGACCCATCCAACCTGACCTTGAAGATTTCCTGGGATGGGGCATCTATACCTCTCTGGGCAACCTGTTCCAGTGTTTCACCACCCTCATTGTAAAAAAATCTTGCTTATATCTAATCTACCCTCTTTTAGTTTAAAACCATTCCTCTTGTCCTATCACAACATGTCCTACAAACATTTCAGCTTAGATACTACTGGGTCCTGCCTTTTCACTGTTTTTTTGTTTTGTGTTGTGCAAAAACACTCCTGTAGCGCTGTGTCTAAGAGATACTATTTGTGCTTGCTAAAGCCACTTTTACAGCAAAAATGCCTGTCCACTTGGGCCAGGACATTTGAAGACAACCTGTTTCTTTAGACTCTGTTTGGGGCACAAAACCTGATTTGAAAGAATAGGCCAAAACCACACTGCTGACATGCATGTATTCTGCTCAACTGTAAATCAAATTCATCGGGAAAATCTATCTGGTCCAAGTGTTAGTCAGGTTTTGAAGGGAAACATTCTCCACTGATGACACAAACAGAATTACACAACAAAGACCACCCAGGACACTGGGAATTTCAAACTTCTTGGCCTCAGTTTCTCTGATTTGTTCTTCCCAGCTTCATGTGTGCTCTTTGAGACAGAAAAGAGCATTTCCTTCATTTTGAACTAGTATTTGTCTTCCAATGAAACATTCATGAAAGCAGCTGGTCCCGGAGGTAGAATGTTCCAAAATCCCATTTTGGAGCCAAGTACATACGTTATGGAGTCAGTCATGACACCACTTTATAGAGAACAAACAATGAGTTTTGGATCTTCTGCGTACCTTTTCTCCCTGCAAATAAGTTCCTTTCCTCCATTCTTTTGGAAACATCTCAGTCTGTATTGGAAACAGAGGATGTAATTTATTTTTATCGCCTTCCCTGTCAAACTGGCCAACTGCCACAGGGTTCTGCTTTCAGATGTAGCAAGAGGCAGGAGAATCACAATGAAAAATCATTCATTTCAGTGGCTCCTCCTCTGTTTCCTTATCTTATTTTGAGGTTACCTACTGTGCTGTCTTATCACTCTTTCTAATCCTGCAAAACTTCTCTGCAACTTGACCCCTCTGCAGAAAGAGCTGACCTGCTTGGACCTCCGTGCTTTTCCCCTCCTGTTTCCATCCCCAGAGCGTGTTGCTCCTTCCTTTGTTACTGCAGGGATCCTTTTTCACCGCCTGTCTTACCCCTTGCTCCTCTTTTCCCTAGCTCATTACACTGCATTACATTTCCTAGCTGAATGTACATACAGCTGTGGCCTCCTTGGCGTATGCGCAATTCCTCACTGTCCAGCCTGCCCTTTGATGTCTTCTGAAGAAGGATACATCTTCTTTTCCATCTCTTCACATGTGCCTATTAATTACTCTCTTCAGAGGAACTGTTTACTGACTATCACTCTGTTTACAGTTGAATACAGCTAAACATTTGGTCTTCACAGTTCCCCTCTTCTACACCACCCACCCAGTTTCTTCTCAATTGCTGCAAAATGGATGTCTCCAGATCTCTCTATAAAGGCACAGATACAATATACTTATATTCCACACCCAGCCTCCTACTCTTACATACTGGGTTTGCTTCACTTGCAGGGAGGTAGAGAAAGGAGCTACATTGGTGTTTTTCTCTTCAGGCCTCTAACAGAAAAGATGCAGTCAAACTTCTGCTGCACAGATTCCTACCTTGGGTGCTGTAGAAAACCCAGAAAGATCTACAAGCATCAGACTCGTGACCTGTGAAGAAATAATACAAACCCAGTATGAAGTAAAGAAGTGTGCCCACTGAAATGAGAAGGGTTATCGTATGCATAAACTGTGCATGTGTATTGGTGAGATCAAGGACCCTTGGGCAGAGGGAATTTTAATAGCTTAGGGAGGAAGAAATTAGCAAAAGTACAGAAGAGAAGAATTGTATTGTTATAATGTAGCAGCTGAGATCTAAGATGAAAATTCCTTCAGATTTCCTCCTTACTCCATATGGAGCTTAAAATATTATTAAATAATATGAAATAAATTAAAAACAAATGTGGGGTAAATCATGTTTTTATCCCCAGTGAACAGATTATTGTCAATCATAGAATGGTTTTGGTTGGAAGGGACTGACTTCCAACCCCCTACTATGGACAAGGACACCTTCCACTAGACCAGGTGGCTCAGAGGCCCATCCAGCCTGGCCTTGAACACTTCCAGGGATGGTGCATTCACAATTTCTCTAGGCAACCTGTGCCAGTGTCTCACCACCCTTACAGGGAATAATTTCTTCCTTACATCTAATCTAAACCTGGTCTCTGTCAGCTTAAACCCATTTGTCAGTTTAAACCCTTTGTCTCATCACTCCATGTCCTTGCAAAAGTCCCTCTGCAGCTCTCCTGGAGCCCCTGGAGAGGCACTGGAAGGTGCTGTAAGGTCTCCCCAGAGCCTTCTCTTCTCCAGGCTGAACAAGGCCAGCTCCCTCAGCCTGCCTGCCCTGGAGAGCTGCTCCAGCCCTTGCTCTTTGTGGAAGAGGTGGCTGCTGCTTTACCTGATCCAGGCAGCCTCAGCACTGGACCTGGAAGGAACAGAAGCTTTGAACTTGCTTACAACCCGTCGTTTGGAGAGCACATCTCATGCATCAGAAAGCAGGGGTGGGGTGCGGCAGGGAAGGAATTCAGGAAGGCCTGTGGAAGCAGGCACAGCTAGCTCAGTTTGCAGAGCCTTCCAGCTGAGAAGTCGAGGGGCACAGAAACATGGGGATGAACCTGCGTGCGGTTATTTTCCATCAGTTATCCCAGACAGGGAAAACAGCCACACCAGAAAAACAGACGGCAAAGCCTGACGTGTCAATTTTGGTGTCATTCACACTCTTTTCCCTGATACTCCTGTAAATGCAGAATCTGCATTTATATCCAAAACACTTTTTAATGAGCACTTTATTGACACATTTGTTCTACTGCTATATAACAGATAATGACGAACAGCTGGCTACAGATAATGACAGGCACTAATTTATATTGGGTTATTACCTTCAGATTCTGTAGGCTGTTACCTTTTTTTTTCTTTTAATTTTTAGCATTCTTGCCCTCTGTTGTACTTGCATTTTCTGATGCTCACATTTACTATTCTTGCGTTCAAGGAAAGAAATAAGCATTTTAAGAGCTTTATGTTTAATTACACTTTAAGCTATTAATTAGACACATAAACAAATTAAAGGTACATTTAATTAAATGTTACCCATTCAAATGTGTAAACTGGAAGCGGAGTCCATCAACTTTAAAACCAATATTGTGTGCATTTATCTTAATTAGTCAGGTAGTGTTAGGGATTAATGAACTTTAACTGTTATATTCATAATCAGATGCATTAGCATTTGTGTCTTTGTGGCACACAGAAGATGAGTTCAGATGGGAGCTCTCTCCTGCTATGTATTGTACAAACAGAACAGGAGGTGCCTCTGCAAGACTTTTCTTTGTTGCCTTGAAAAGGAAATATTGGTACTCTTTAGCTTTTGCAGGTGTGAACTGAACATTCAAAACATCATCCAAAACTTTCCCCTACATTATCATTTCATATTTACACTCAGGAGATTTCCCTTCCACAGAGTGGCTATTTAGTATCTTGAGAAGTGGATTCTCATTCTGGCACATCCAGGTTCTAGTCTGAGCAAATAAAGCTCATGAGGCGATATTAAGCCCACAAACATCCTAAAAGAACTCATGTGATTGTGAAAGGAGTTATTTCAGCAGTCAGAGAAAGTCATTTGGGAGCAGTATGGAACACCTGATCTGGTTGTGCAGCAAACAATTGGCTGTATGCTGTCTTCCCAGCAAACACACAACTAGGGCTGGTGATTAATTCTGCTTCTGCAATAAACTAATGCTTCTGATCATCTCTGCTCATTTATTGGTGCTGGGAAGTAAAATGCAGAGCTGTAACTCCTCAGATATTTCATTCTGCAGATGAGTTTATAACTTCAAGTTTGGAGAATTTATTTTTATAATTGATACACATTCATTCAAGTTCTTGAAATTTGGTATTGGACCATCACAAGTAATTCTTTTTCCTTTCTCTGTCATGGATAGAGAGATTTAATGCAACGTTGCGTGTCAGAACTTCCTTAAGCGTAAGGAACCACTTAACTTATATACTTGTATATAGAGAAGTAATCCAGCAAACTGGTAAATCAGCCTGTACTGGTATTTCCAAGTCTTCCTTTGACATCAAGATACAGTGAAAGAGCATCAGCACAAAAATTAAGTAGAGCCAAAAATCCACATTACTAAGTTATCAAGACACTGCTGTGTCCATTTTGTACAAGAGTTTGATTCCATTTACTTTGAATAATTTCCTCCTGGATTTTTTCTTAAGAGCTAAAATGTGGAATTTTCCAAAACAAATAAAATCTGGTATGGTATTCAGAGCTTTGATGGAAAGAAATTGCTCCAGCTATAGGATCTGCATTTCATGTGCTTTTCTGAAATCCAGGACTAGCAGGGCTCTACATCTGACACACTCTGAACTTTGAGTTATACTGTAAGTTATTTTCTCATCTGTTCAATCAGCAGTTACTGCTCTGGCTGATAGTTTACATTTAACTCCTTTTGTCTCTGTATGTTTAGGTGATACCATTAAAAACTACAGTGGGTCTTTCCTGAAAATGAAACAGCCTTGGTATTCCTGTTTCTCTAGTTCGCCTGAAATAACCAGAATTCCAAGTATTTAGCTCAGCCACTGACTTTCTAACAGATCTGCCATCCAGGATCAGTTATGGTCAGTATTTTGGGAAAGATTTTTATCTCAGCTGGTATAATTTTATATAAGATGTAAAAAAAAAAAAAAAAAAATTAAATCAGATTCTATTTAACAGATGTTCCTAATTGCATCAAACCATTTTAAAAGTCGGGATTAGGAGAGAATTGAAAGGGATTCTGTTTACAGCCCAGATAATTTGCAGTTTCAGAGCCTGGTCTGGACATTTTCTGACTGATACAAACAACCTGAGGTGACTGCAGTGAGCAGCTGAAGTACTGAGCACACACACACAGTGCTTGTGGTAGGAGTTGAGCAGTGTATTTGTAT